ATTATATAGCAGTTCATGAGTCCTTTGTTTCTAATGAAATTTTCTATTTGATGAAAGGAAGAGAAAGAAAAACAGAAATTGGACAAAGGAAAGAGAAAGAAAGATAGAAATATAAGGAAGGAAAGAGAACGAAAGATAAAAATAGAAGAAAATAAGAGAAAAAGACAGAAATTGAAGGAAAGAAGGAGAAAGAAAGATAGAAATTAAAGAAAATAAGAGAAATAAAGATATAAATTGAAGGAAGAAAAGAGAAAGAACGAAAGAAAGTGGACAAAGGAAGGAGAAAGAAAGATAGAAATTGAAGAAAATAATAGAAAGATCGAAATAGAAGAAAATAAGAGAAAGAAAGATAGAAATTGAAGGAAGGAAAGAGAAAGAAAGACAGAAATTGAAGGAAGGAAAGAGAAAGAAAGACAGAAATTGAAGGAAGGAAAGAGAAAGAAAGACAGAAATTGAAGGAAGGAAAGAGAAAGAAAGATAGAAATTGAAGGAAGGAAAGAAAAAGAAAGACAGAAATTGAAGGAAGGAAAGAGAGACAGAAATTGAATGAAGTAAAGTGAAAGAGAAAGCTAAAGGAAGGAACAGAAGGAAAGATAAAAAATAGATGAAGGAAGATGAAAAGAAACTGACACAAAAACAAAAAAGCCAAAAGAAATAAACCCAAGGAAAGTGAATAAGCCCTTATGTAAACCACAGCTCGCCCAACAAAAAAATGCCAAGCCAAAAATTAAACAAAAAACAAAAACACATACAACAAAGTCTTATAGAAGGATTTGTACAGAGAATGGCTCAGATTTCCAACAATAAGTTTTCTTGGAACATTTATGTCTTTTTAAACGTTTGTTTTAGTCCCAGATCAGCCATGGTATCTTATACGAACCTAGCTGGGACTTTGTTAAGGATTTTGTAAGAACTTTTCTCTGGAATGGTAAATGAAAGATAATGCGACAGAAGGCCTTAGTGAAAGCGAAGGAAAGGGTGACGAGACACTAAAAAACACCCGAGCCAGTACATGCCTCACCCCTTGGGATTGAGGAACCACTTACCCTGACACTCCCCAGTGTTGAAGCGCACTTTTAATGAGCTTGGGTTTACAGTAAGCTGTTTAATAGTCAGCAATTTTCTCATGTAACCCCCAACTACACACCCACCGACCCTCGTCGAATATGTCCAGAATTAACAGGGAATTTACTTACTGTAAACAAGTTTGGTACATGTATATACATTACAAACTTACGAAGCATATATATATATATATATATATATATATATACACCGGCTGTAACAGCAAAAGTGTCGAAATCATGTAACAGCACGGGATAATTGTCCCTCCCATAAAATGTTTAATATCTAAAAAAAAAACACTAAACTAACTGAGTTTCTTTTTCCAGGCTTTCAGATAAAGTGTTTAGCCATCCTGACACCATTTGTCGTAAGAATCACTGAAAAACCCTTTCAGTTATTCAGCTAGAAAGAGAACATGTTAAAATCATTTTGTGTCAGCCCCACTATGTCTTTTCAACTGAGCAATGGTGAGAGGAAAAAGATCATTCAGTCCTTCAGTAATGGTACCAATATTCATAGTCAGGCTTCCATCTTCAAAATCTATTCAAGAACCATCAAGAGAACAGTGAATAAGTTTAAAAAGGAGGGAACAGTAGAGAGGATTTTCAGCAATGACAGTTCAAATAGCAGTGAAAAAAGATAAAATATATATATATATATATATATATATATATATATATATATATATGTGTGTGTGTGTGTGTGTGAGAACGTAATTTCAATCCTTAGCTATGATTGATTAATTAATGATGAACATGTCATTTTCGTTTATGATCGAATTCATCCTGATTCTTCTGTTAAGGTTGGAGAGTAGTGAAACATTCTTATTGCTCAAAGTAGAGTCCAATAGTGTTATAAAAACCTCGGTGAACTCCAGTAAGATATCTTTAATCATTTCTAAAATACAACGTTTCAAAGCTTAATCTAATAAATGGGCAATTTTGCTTTTACACGATATGACCAACTTTGCTGTTACACTCGGTATCCACGCACACATACGTGTATGTGTGTGTATATATATATATATATATATATATATATATATATATATATATATATATATCTCATCAGTCTCTAAGTGTTTATCTCGGAGCATTGTTTTAAATTTATTTTCAATGTCAGTCCTCCTCGTTAATGAGAATGGGTTTGTGTTAGGGATTGGTGGAGGCGTAAGATATCTTATCCCGGGTGAAGCGATTTGGGGTTGAAGTTTATTTATGACCAGAATCTTTGCTGTTTGTAGTTCAATATCAGTTCTTACTATATCAGTTCCTACTATGGGGCGTTTGTTATAAAGGCCCCGAATCTGTTTCTTTTCTGGGATTCACAGTAAATTGCTTTTGTACTAGAGGTGTCCAATATTATTCTACATGCTGTGATTAGTTCTCTCTGTTGAATTAATAGTTTGGCTTGATCTTTATATTTTATTATCCTGATTTTATCTTCTATACATAGCTTTCACCTATCCCTCATACCTAAAATTTTCCAATTTATCTGAGTATTCATGTAGACATAGAAAAAAAAAATCGAAATTACATAAGAATACATGTGCATATATATGGGGGTGTATATGTACGTATAGTGGCATATATGTATGGGCATGTAAATGTACATATATGTATGTATGAAGATATGTACGCATAAAAGTGCGTTGGACAGCATGATTTATTCCATTGGATGCTAGGATATTACACACAATCTATAAATCTATAACTCAACAAATTTACATTAATCTTAACGGGTTTAGGTTTAAATCCCCCATCACTTATTAATAATATTGGACACCTGTAGTACAAAAACAATTTACTGTGAATCCCAGAAAAACAAATTCGGGGCCTGTATAAGAAACGCCCCATAGTAGGAACTGATATAGTAAGAATTGATATCAAACTACAAACAATAAATGTTCTGGCGATAAATAAGCATCAACCCCAGATCGCTTCACCCGGGATAAGATATCTTACGTCCCCACCAATCGCCAACATAAACCCATTCTCATTAACAAGGTGTCTATCAGAGAAGGACTGACATTGAAAATAAATTTAAAACAATGCTTCGAGATAGACACTTAGAGACTGATGATAGACTATTTCAAGCCGTTCAGTGCGCGGCTATCTCTTTGTTGAGGTATTTTTTATTTTTTTGCTTTAATATATATATATATATTTGGTTGGATAGATGTGAGTTCGTGACCCTGGGTTTCACGCTTTAGCGATCGTCAGACAAAGTTTGAAAGCGTTGAAACCCAGGGTCACAAACTCACATCTATCCAACCAAATATGTTAGCTCTATCTCTGATATTGAGCGCTTTCTAATAAGTACCGCGCATATAATATATAAATAATTAAACATACTTATATTTATTTATATTTATATACACTTTTCACACACACATATATATATATATATATATATATATATATATATATATATATATATACACACACACATATACCACACATACGCATATATATATATATATATATTTGAATTTGTAGGTCTGATGAATTGGATCGTATTTACGATTCCAATGGAATAAATTATGACCATGGAATATTAGTGTTTAAGCCTTTTTATTATATCGTTACCTGTCCTGGACATTGAGTTCTACCTGGATTCTATCCTCTCGAAATTTTTTATTCAAAAATATACATATGGGTATTTATATATTTTGCATATGTATGTATATTCACCACTAATATATATATATATATATATATATATATATATATATATATATATATATATATATATATATATATATATACACACACACACATAATAATACATATATATATATATATATATATATATATATATACACACACACACATAAATACCACACGCACGTATATATGACACATAAACACACACATATATATATATATATATATATAAAATATACACACACACACACATATATATATACACAAAATACACAGATATATATATATATATATATATATATATATATATACACACACAGATTTATATATATATATATATATACACACACATAAATACACAGATATATATATATATATATATATATATATATATATATATATATATACACAAAATATCACACACACACACGTATATACACACATAAATACACGCACACAGATATATAAATATATATATATATATATATATATATATATATATATATATATATATATATATACACATAAATATCATACACACACACATATATATATATATATATATTGATACCCAGACTTTGTGAATTTAATTGCAGTACTAGATTGGCAGCAAGGTTTCATTATTTTCCCGCTGAAATGGCTATAGATGTAACCGTAAGTTCTATGCTAACAATTTCTCTCCTAGTATTTTTCACTTGTGGAACTCTCTTCCGGCTTCTTGCTTTTCAGTCAAATTTGATCTTGAAAAATTTATATGTAATGTCAATCGTCACCTTCACACTCAGTAATCCCCATACGTCTTAGTGACTTTATTGCCTTGCTTGAGGTGAAATGTTTAAAAACTCTATATGGATGGATTCTTCCGTGGAGAACGATGGATGAGGATACAGTAAATTTATATTTTTTCTAAGCAACTTGCGCATATGAATTATTTAAAAAGATACCTGTTTACCTGTACCCTGCAATGCACACTGTCTCCATTATAGTACCCTGTTCTATCCTGGTGCAGATACTGCCGTTGGTAAGGAGACCATCCATCTTTTGACAACCCTCTCCAGATTGGTTTTCAGTTTTCATTCTCTTAATTGTTAACTAAAGCTATAGGGCCCAGTTTATTTAACCCTAGTTAGATAGGAGAAGAGTTGGATTCATGCCTTTCCCATGAGTATTTACACGTGAGTGAATATAAAGAACTCGACTGGAATTGGAACTCGGCTCCCCGATATCTCGTTCCGAACCGTTATCCATTACACCACCCGCATATCCAAGCTGACAGCACTTGTTATTTCCAAGCGGTCGCCCATCTCAGTACTGATCAGGCTCAATGTTGCTTAACTTCGGAGATCGAACGAGAACCGGTATTTCAACGTGATATGGCCGTA